CTTAATGTCCATTATCAAAGTTTCTTCTGTGAAAATCCTTAATAACTCGTTAGTTTGTAATAGACTGTCAAATAAAACCAGTTCTTATTGATTTTTAGCATTACCTAGCTGATATATCCGATACAATCAACTCGTGGTTTAATGTCAAAGTTTCCAGCGTAGGGATCTTTGATAGCGTATTTTTTTTACTAGAAACGCTGTCTGATACGATTTTCAATAGTACTTTCTGATAGCTGATATCTTTGATAAGCTCTACTCAAGGCTAATCGTAAAAGATTTTCGTAACTAAGTCATTTCATTTATAATTAAATTAAATTTAAGAAACATGTGAAATGTCGGAGGCTACAAGAAAAATTGAAGCAACACTTATGAATTGTAAGAGTTTAACTATATTAAAAGTGTTTCTCGAACGTCATCTTTAATGGTTAAATTGTGAAGCCCAAATATAACATGTATTTATGAACACTAAAAGCTTAATAACCTTTGTCATATGTAAAAAGACAAAAGACGGAAGCTGGACTGGAGGTCAAAATCTGGAAGTCAGAAGTCGAAAGTCAAAAACCAGAGGTTGACAGATCAATAAAACAAAAACGTTCAAAGTAGATAGTTCTTAAAATAATATGTAGCTTGTTTTACTAAAAAAAAAACTGTTTTTTAAATGTGTCTGTCTTCCTTTAGAACTAGATTATCGTGGCACTCTTTTTTCTCAGGAGCAGATCTGAAACAAATGCGCTAACTACCAAAGGACATGAGGTGCTTTCTTTAATTCCGAGCAGTAAATTGGCTCTTGCACCAATAACTCAATTACCAGGGACGATTTATTCATACGCGAGTAGGTACATTTCAAAAGCCACAACCATTAAGTTATCATGATGGATTTCATTTCCTCCCGAGAAGTTTTATAACTGAATTACCATCCACCAAAGTATTTGAGGCGTTATTTTTATTTGCGAGTAGATAAAAAAAGGAGGAAAATCTTGAAAAAAAGTGTTTTCTCACAATGAAACACGCTATCAAAGATCCACATGCGGGAAACTTTGACTTTGTACCACGAGTTAAACTTATCCAAGGTATCATCTAGGTTCTACTTAAAATCTATAAGAACTAGTTTTATTTGACAGTGTGCTCTGCAGAGTAAAACGTTATCAAAGATCTTTGAACGGCAAGGAAAACTTTGACGATGGGCCTCGAGCTAAGCTTATCGCAGATACTAGCTGGGCACTGATGAGAATCTTACTTGTCAGTTTTCTATCGAAGAAAAAGCTCATTGAACTATTCCAGTTCAGTAAATTTTTAGGAAAAAAAGTTATGAAAGATTGCAGCACAGGAATCTTTGTCGTTGAGCACCAAGACGAGCTTATGAGAGATATCAGCTGTTGACCTGCTAAAACTTTGCATGAACTACAGTTGACTTACCCTCAATAAAGGTCCCAGCACGGGAAACTTTAACGATGGGCTTTGAGTTAAGCTCATCAAAGATATCAGCTATGCACAGCTGAAAATCTTATTTGATAGTGCTTCTTGCAATGATTCAAGCTAGTCAAAACATTGCGGTTTAGTAAGCTTTCATGTTCGGCCATAAAATAAGCCTATTACACATATCAGCTGGGCACTGCTAAAAGTCTGTACGCAATAAAGTTTTCTAACCGTGTGTCTACCAAAAAACACATGCTTACGTACGTATGACAGTTAAAAAACACAATTGAACCATGAGCTACAAAAATAAACTAAACTAATTAATGGGTTTCAAGATTTTACATAAAGTATCATCACATTATTCTTTATGAGATCACAATAGTTGTAATACTGACAAATCCCAACAATAACCTTGTAATTAAAAGAAAACCGTGTTTTCCATATTCTTTGAAAAAAAAGTTGTAAGAACAAAAGCACTTTTATTTACCGCTAGAGATGGTAAGTTGTTTAGCAAAATTTGATCTTGTTTCTGGGAGTCAGTATTCATTTCCACAAAAATAGGTTCAGGATAACGCAGGGTCTATAAAAAATAGGTTTTAGAAACTGGACGAAAAAATGGTGGTGGAGTCAAGATCCAAGCCTACTGTCTCTGTAAGCTATAGCGCCAATAACGTAGTTAGAGGACATTAAGAGTAAGAGCTATTTTTTATCAGCAAATGATTATTCTAATTATAAATAATTACAGCATAAATTTCGCTAATAATAATGTTGTTAACTAATTGATAAGTAGTTATACAGGTGGGTCAGCTTATCTTTTTTAGTAAAAATAATTCTGATAAATTATATTAATGAACCTGATCGAGTATTTTTTCAGCTATCTATGGTTAAAAAATTATAAAGACAATTATTTATCGATCAATTACGATAAGCACTTTCTTATACAAGAGGCTATTTTTTATAACCTAGATACAAATCTACCATACAAGACAATAATGCCAATGAGCTACACTACTATTGACTAAACTAAAATAATCTTATATCGTACTTATTTATAGTCAAGAATGGTAGATGCACTTGACATAACCCATTCCGATCATATTTCTGTACATCGAACGAGCTATATTCTTTGGCTGTACTGCGTTGCGTCGCTTGTACAACCAGCCTTAACAGAATGGGTGACTTAAATAATTATTTTCTCTAAAACTGGTCATTTTCGGGACTCGCACTTACGGTATTTTTTGTTCAGAAAGGCATAAACTAGCATATTAATACTTTAGAACGTTTCTTTGGGAATCACAATCACATTGGGCTGGTGCAGGGTCCTTTTAGCTTTATTTGAAACATTGCAATTTTTTTTTTTTTTATCGACTTACGCAAAACCCTTATCCCTCTACAAAATTTTGCGTTACATCGGTATCTCTTTCGTCGTCTATTCTATCAGTTATTTTATGCAGGGTTAAAGGTATTTTGGATGAAATGTCGTTGATGCAGACTTCTTTATTATTCGAAACTCCAACGAGCTTGGTATTGAAGAAATTCTTTCCTGAACAGTATATATTTAATTGTGTACAAGTAGTCCTATTAAAATTAAAAAAAAAGAAAAACAAATAAAGCTCACAAGCTAAATACTAGAAGACAATCACTATAAAAAAATCGGTTCAGACCATACTCTGAACAATTTTGGTCAACAGTCTCGAACAACTATCTAAAAAAATTCTTGATAAGTATCGATAATAGATTTTATAGATTATAATTCTATAAGCGTGGTATGTGTGAGAATAAACTAACGATTTTAGATTGGTGACCTTGAGAGAAAGTGTGACCGAAGTGGATTTTGCATATTATTCTCCCTTCACTTTACCCCCTTGACGTACTTCCCGTCCCCACCACACCACACTACGCTACCACAGCACACATTTTCAATTTTGTACAATCTTATTTCTTTTTCTTCAAGCAATTTTAAGGAAAAAAAAAATAAATAA